ATGTGGGACGCGGCCTCAGCATGGCCGGAGAAGCGGTGCGTCGGTGCGCGCCCGGGATCCGAACCCGGGCCGCCAGTAGCGGAGCGTGCGCACTTAACCGCTAAGCCACGGGGCCGGCCCCCAGCGTGATTTTCTTTTAAAAGAAAAGAAGCCTGAAGGACTGGAGTTCTATTTCTGTCACCTTAGGCAGGTCACTGCATCCCTTTGTATCTCTGTTTTCCCATGATAAGATGGGCTTCATATGCCCTGCCAATCACAGCAGAATGTTTTCTATAAAATGAGATCGTGTACATGAAACAATCAAGAAAAGAGTGAAAGAAAAGAGTGCAAGTAGAATTCAAAAGCTGGAATAGCCCTTAAAGAGCATCTGACCTGGACCCCCTATTTAACAATGAAGAAGCTCAACAGACGGTGTAAATGCCTCTCTCAGAATCCCCGATCCTGGAAGTAGCAGCGTCGGGGCCTGGAACCCAGATATTCTGAGTCTCATCCGTGTGCCCACCTGCTGCTGCATTACACTACATCCTGGGGAGAAAGCAATGGCAATGAGAAGATTTTCTTTGAAGAATGCTCTTGTGTCTCTTCAGATCATTAGAAACACCCTGGGAATTGTCAGATCTAGAGTTAGAAGGCTTTATGTTTGCAAGACTAGGTAGCATGGGTTGGATTCAACTATGAAAACCCTGTGTTCTTTTTTAGAAGGTTGATTTTAAAGCCCTAGTTCAACAGAGGAGTTCAACAGAGGAGTTATGGACTATCGGGCTTTAGAGGAAAGTATACATCCTACAGAAACCGTATATCAGGCCACAATTTGTGAGAGCTCAGGGGTATAGGCGTCTCTCCAGCCCGACCCCTGTGAGAGTGAGTTAATCTTGCTCTGTGACATTGTTGTTGACCACTCAGCCACTTGGGCAAATGCAACTACCCATCTTTAGGCGACTAGTTGAGAGGGGGAGAATCGTGGAAAGCCAATGAGTCACAGCATGAAGAAAGTGGCCTTAAGTGCCACCCCCCACTGGTGTTGGGTCTGGAGTGTAACCATCTGTCCCTTTGCAGAGTCCCACAGATCGTTTTAAACATCGATCTGGCCCCTACGATCCTGGATATCGCTGGGCTTGACACGCCTCCCGATGTGGACGGCAAGTCTGTCCTCAAACTTCTGGACCCGGAAAGGCCAGGTAACAGGTGCGTCAATTTTCTGTCCCTCAGCCAGCCCCAAGCACACCGGCTCGCAGAGCCAGCCAGGGGCTGAGAGAAGTGGAGGCAAAATAGGCTCTGCCCATGAGGATCAACCCAAGCTGAGCATTTCTCGGCTGTTTGTGAACGGCGTATTGATGGAGATGCAGTCATGGTCTGCGGGAAGTGAGAGGTGTTTCTTTCAATAAACTCTTAGCACAGATCCGTTTGGAAAAACGTCCGGATGCCAACAGTAAATATTATTATTTTGCTTTCAGGTTTCGAACAAACAAGAAGGCCAAAATTTGGCGTGATACATTCCTCGTGGAAAGAGGGTAATTTATTGGTTCCTGGGGTGCTTCTGGGAACCAGTCCTAGTGGGCAGCTCTCCCTGCTGAGTAGTTTTTTTCCCCTTATTTTGGTTTACTAAGCATGCAGATTTCGTAAGCCTAGTCACAAGACTGAATGGTTTGCTACTCATTCTTCGCTGGCTGGCAGAGCAATGATTGTTGCATCAGAATTGCAAAGAATAAATTCTCCTAAGATGGGACCAAAGCCCTTACATGGCTATGGGTTTACTGTTGCATTTCTCAGCCTTGGTTCCTAATCAAACAAGTCAATTGACTTTCTCAACCATCCCTCCCAAGTCCTGCCTGGCATCTTTCTACTTCTTTTTTTTTATGTGCCTTTCCTTGTTTTAAATGTACAAATATATGAGATTGTATTAATTTCCATAGTGACTTCTGAGTTTCCCCTTTTGATTAATAATGCTTATTGTCTTTGTTTTCCTCCAAACATACTTTGAGAGAGAGAAAAGCATTTATATAACTGCTTTTTAACAAAAAGAACTTTGAGCCTGTAAAGCTAAACGTTTATGCCCAAAGTTTTGACATTAATGCCTTTGGGGAAAAGGACTCTTCCTATCCTGACTTCTTGTCTTCATAGTACTAGCTTGTAATTTTGACGAAGGACTCATCAAACGTTGAACTCCTGTGGACAGAGCCTTAACATCTATTTCTTGCTGTTTGAAGAATGTGGGGTCATGTGACAGGGAAGAAAAAGAGAACAGGCAAGTCGCAGGGAAGGTAGTTCAGATTACTTCTCACAGAAGAAATTTTTCCCTTTCTGTCAAAGGAAATTTCTACGTAAGAAGGAAGAATCCAGTAAGAATATCCAGCAATCAAATCACTTGCCCAAATATGAGAGGGTCAAAGAGCTGTGCCAGCAGGCCAGGTACCAGACAGCCTGTGAACAACCTGGGCAGGTGAGTGACACAGCTTTTCCTCACCACCACTCACGTGTTTCTCTGTTTCTAATTTTCAGCATATAAAATAATGTACATTTGGGTATAAATAAGCTTTTCATGGTGATCATGGAGTGCTCACTGTGACAGAATTGTCTGCCTGGTCCAACTTGGCCTCCTCATCACTGCTTGGGCTCCCTCTAGTTACAGAAGATGGTGCTAGGGCAGCCCAGTGGCGTAGTGGTTGAGTTTGCGCACTCTGCTTTAGCAGCCCGGGGTTTGCAGGTTCAGATCCCGGGCACCAACCTACACACTGCTCATCGAGCCATGCTGTGGCGGTGTCCCACATACAAAATAGAGGAAGATTGGCATAGATGTTAGCTCAGGGACAATCTTCCTTGAGCAAAAAGAGGAAGATTGGCAAAGGATATTAGCTCAGGGCCAATATTCCTCACCAAAAAAAAAAGAAAAAAAAGAGAGAGAGAGAGAGAGAGATGGTGCTCTCAGAGAGTTCTAGATGTCCACCCAATTAGCCAATGCCAGTTAAAGATATCAGATGCATGAAATGAGTAACCAGGTTAGAAAGATCAGAGACTGGTTCTATCTGAGAAGAAGGCACCATCCCTGGGCTCCTCATAACTGGTCATCAAGAAGGGTTGAGAGGCTGCTTAGTCAAGATGGGTGAATGCTGAGACCCTGGGGAGTGAACTGCCCCAAGAGACAAGATGGGGTCTTCTCCTCCTGGACTAAAGTCAGATGTCATCTAACCCAGAGAGGAGGACAGAATCCATGGCCAAGGTTGGGGAGTGAAAGGGGAAACTGTATTCTGTTTGTTTATTGTTTCTCCCTCTGCTCACAAAATTCCTGACATCAAATATTTCATTGGAATGAATCCTTTTCATTAACAGAAAATTTCCTATAGAATTCAAGGCTACCCAGAAGACCAACTTTTATCAATAAAAACTGAAGAAATACCATGTGATGAATTAATACAGACCCGTTTTTAAGGAAAGTGAGAACATGTGAACACAAATTATTTTATACACTCTTTGTTGAAATCTATACCGGCTAAGAGAAATGCTCTCTCGTAATGACAGAGGAACTGAATTTCTGCCTAAGTCATTGCAACTTAGAACAAAATTGAAGACAAGTGAAAAATAATATTGATTGAGCATTTGTCTTATATAAGGCACTGTACATGGAGGTTTATATGTATTAGCTCAATTTAATCCTCACATCCGTCCAGTGAGATGGGCACTGTCATCCCCATTTTACAAATGGGCAGCTGGTGAGTGGCAGGGCTGGGATCCAGATGAGTTGCCTGATTCAAAAACTCAGGCCAGGGGGCTGGCCCAATGGTGTGGTGGTTAAGTTCTCACTCTCCACTTTGGCGGCCCAGGGTTCACAGGTTCAGATCCTGGATGCAGAGCTACACACAGGTCATCAAACCATGCTGTGGCAGCATCCCACATGCAAAGTAGAGGAAGATTGACACAGATGTTAGCTCAGGGCCAATCTTCCTCACCAAGAAGAAAAAACAAAAGCTCTGGCCACTTGCTGCCTTCCAAGGTAAGTTACATTATCTAGGCGAAGAGAGGTTTAAATCTTTTGTGAATCTTTTTTTAACTTATCTGACCTCTAGATGTCCACATAACTAGCCAACACCAGTTCAAGATATCAGACACATGAAATGGATAACCCAGTTATTATTAAAATGCCCTCATTTATTCGACTCTTATTATATGGTATCTAGCTTATTGAATAGACATTCATAACAAACAACTTGATCCTCGTACTCTCTGTATTTCCTCTTGCCTTTTTGTACTCAAGGATTCCTTTGAAATAGAAAAAGGTGGGGAGACAGAGTTGTTGAAGGAAGGGATAAAACCAGGCCTTCATGGCATTCTAGTAAGTCTTAATTTTCAAGTGTTTCGTGGAGAAGCTTAGACCTATTCATTATATTTTAATTTGAAATCTTCAAATCCTTCTTATGGAAGCTCTAAGTATTATTATGACTAAAACCTCAGAATTATTTTGTAGCTCTAAAATTATTTTTATGAATCAGCCTCAATAGACTAATTTACTTCTATTCAGGAGTTGGAAATGTTCAGTGTTAAATATATCTTATGCAAATTGGAGAGATTGTTACGATGTTAGCCCCCTAAGTGGCGAGCATTATAACCACGTGAGAATAAGATACACTGCCTAGCTTTTAGTATACAGTTTTGTAAACTTCTCCATATGGCTTGCACTGAAATTTTAATATATGTCCTAAAGGGCAAATGTAGCTTAAACTCTATTATTATTGTCTTCTGGCACAACTCTTCACTCATGCGCTGGATGCTAACTATGTTAAAAACTTTGCTTCTTCATTTTTTTCTAAACTTGTTTTGCCCCCATGTAATGCTATAAAGCTGGCTCTCTAGAATTTTCCTCTGGTGCTTTATTTTCTTGTGAAACAGTCTGAAATTAGAATCTATCACATGCATATATGAGAACGTTAGCAACAATCTCTTTTAGCAGTGCCTGGATTAGGGGAACAAAGAATTAGACTGTGCCCTGATGGTGATTTCTTTTGTAAGTGGTGGTCAAACCACAGTTTAAGAATCTGAGAACTTTGAGACAATTTTGAGCCTCTTCAAGGTAGTTATCGAACCTGTAGGTCACACCTGATAGCTTAGTTGTGTTCTATAGAATCTTTATATTTCGGCTTTTTGTTCTTTCTATCTGGCTGCTCTGAAGATTCTCTTTTTAGTTACAGTATCACTGACTTTAAAAAAAGAAAACAAACGTGTGGAATAATGAGATTGTATTGTTCAGGATCAAGGGGATGGCTAAGTAACTTGCTTGGAATCTCCTGACGTTAATTTCACACCTGCGTCTCTTCCTCTAACCAAGGTTAACTGTCCTCGTGCAAAGGCAACACAGTCTTTTCTTTGATTTGAGCTTCCCTGGGATGTAAAGGAAAAATCAGCACTATTAGCCCCATTCTCTTCACTCCTAGTCCCCAAAGAGATAGTGTATGCCCCCCTCCCACCACACTCCTGTGCCTGGTCACCTAAGGGTTGTTTGGTAGGGTCAATATTGGGTGCAGGAGTAAATGAAGGAAAGAGGAATTTGAAATCAAAAGATTTGGGTTAGACTATTGACATCCACTAATTTTTAGTTGTGTGTTCTTGGACAAAATGCTTAATGTCTCCTGAGTCTCAGGTTTTCTATCTCTAAAATGGAGAAAATCAGTCTCAGTCTTGTGAGGATAAAGTGATATCATATATGTAAAGTGCTAGATGAGCTGTAAAGCAGTGTGCGAGGGTTGGGTGTTGTTATTATTACCTGTTGTTTTCATTCCTATGAAGCCAACAGGGAATTAAAATGGGCTGGAATCCCAGACATTTGGCATCACTCCTCCACTATGTGAACAGAACAACCAGCAGGGACTAATTAAGACAGCATGGACATATGTGTTTGCATTACTTCTGTGTCCCTGAATTAATACGAGGCTGAGTGTGAATTCCCACCACTCTCTCAGCTGGCATTACACCCCAAGCACATTTATGTACAGACACACTACACACACAAAGGCACACTCATATGCAAATCGCAGCTTCTATCTGAAAAGACTTTGGTTCCACAGAGAACGTAGATGAGTGATGCTCAATTCAGGCTGCACGTTAGAATCACCTGGGCAGCTTTTGAAACCACTGATGCACAGCCTTACCCCAGACCAATCAGATTTAAATATCTGGAGGTGAGACCAGGGCATCTGTATTTTTTAACAGGGTTAAGAACCATAGGCCTCAAATCAGAGCAAGTTGGAGAGAGTCTTAGAAATCTTCTAGTTGAATGATATCATTTTCCTAATAAGGAAATTTAGATCCAGAAAACTTAAGCTACAAACCCACAGTCAGAACCTGCATCTCTTTGCTTCATGTTCAATCTTTTCTTCCCCAGAACATGCTGCCTCTGCAAAAAATGTAAGACAATAGATTTTTCCCTTTATTATAAATTGTAAATGGCATTTTTCTGGCTGAAGCCATGGGTGTAGGACTCACTCACAGCGTCCGGGGCAGTGGTTCTCAACCATGACTGCTCTTTAAATCACATAAGTAGCTTTAGAAATGCTGATGTTCAAGTCCCACTCCAGAGAAATTAAGTGAGAACCCCCGGGTGTGGGACCCAGGTATCAGTGGTTTTTTCCAAGCTGGTGGGTGATTCCTGTGAGCAGCCAAGATTGAGAGCTATTCATGTCGGGTGAGCATTATTCGTGTTTTTTTTTTTTTTTTCTTTTTCTAAGTATAGATATTGACTACTTAAATCGGAGTTACCTAAAAGAGAAATTCCTGCGAATTGTTTCTCAATAAAACTAGAAAAATAATTTTTAAAATAAAAAAAATTCCCTGGGCATTCAACTTGAAAGGACATTTTATATATGCTCTGTCATTTAGGAGGAAAATGCAGCTTGTTTTTATATAGAGCATATGTCATGTCCTTTGGCTGAGTTGTTAAATTCCAGCATCTTTGCAATTTAGTTTGCCTTCCTACTAGTGTAACAATATAAAATCAAAGATTTGTTTAACATTCCGAAAGGACCCGAGCATCAAGCAAAGGAAATTAGAATGTAGCCTGTTGAGTGTACACTGGTTTAGCTCCAGGATCTATGTTCTCATCCAAAAATTATCCCTCTGACCATAGATTCCTCCGACCCTTTGTGACTAGCTTCAGAGCAGGAATAAAAAGACATTTACCAGCAAGATCTGGCTAGAAGTATTAGCTTGCCGGAAGCTGACGGCCTGGTTCCAGAAACTCGCTGAGCCCTGGTTAAAATCACAGCGTGGCTCAGAGGCATTTCCCCCTGGCTCTCCTGATTCCGGAGGGTAGGGCCAGAAAGACTGAGCCCCGGTGCCATCCTCTGGCTGAACTCTCGTCTGCCTGGGGCCCCAGTATGGACGGCTCAGCCTCTAAACCTCACCTCCTCCTCTCTTCAACCTGCACTGAAGGACGTGTCTGAACACTTGTGCATT